GTTTTCTCGTGTCTTTCCATCCTCTGCTTCCTCTTTTTCTTAAAGCACTTGGAATACCAACTGTGCTTCACTGCTATTGAGAAGACAAAAGAGACCACTAAGATTTTAGTTACCAGATTTAAGCCGTTGAAATAGATTTAGTCATTGTCCGTTTTACCTGCGACATCTAAAATCATACATGGGTGGCGTCGATTTTCTGAAATGTAGGATTTTTTTCCCCTCCATCCTGAATCCACAAAAAAGTATACGGAAAAAAAAGGAAACAGTCGTGCTACTTATTTAAAGCCAGACTTGTTCACACACAAAACACCCAACATGGTGGCAGCTACTGTGGGCAGCCCATTCTGCAAGGGGACAGGTCGTTCTCAACTTACGACCGTTTGCTTAGTGTCCGTCCCAGTTACAATTGCACTGAAAAAAAAGTTGACTTCTTATTTAACAGCCGTAGAAACATTTTCACAGTTTCTGGGCACTTTGGCAACCAACTTGCCTTTAGGGTGGTTGCAAGATCCCGGGGGTGGGTGGGTGGGTGGAGACTTCAATGGCCACCTTCCCAGCCAGCTTCCAATAAGCAGAACCAATGGAAGAAGTGGGATTCACTTAACAACAGTGGTTATTTGTGTGGCAAAAAGGTGGTAAAATCAAGCAAGGGAATCGTTGAACAACCGTCTTGCTCAGCACTGAAAAACTCTAGTTCTAGTTGTGGTTCTCAGTTGAGGGCTACCTGTGTATTTGTAAATGGATCCCCGCAGTGGTGGGATTCAAATTTTTTTACTACCGGTTCTGTGGGTGTGGCATGGCTTGGTGGGCATGGAAGGGAAGGATATGCTGCAAAATCCCCCTTCCCTCCCCACCCCCCCTAAACTGCTTTCCAGCTCTGTTCTCCTGTGCAGGGCAACCAAAGAAGATCCAGCTGATCAGCTGTGGGCATGGCTTGGTGGCTGTGGTGTTCTGTGGGTGTGGCTTGGTGGGCATCGCTTGGTGGGCGTGGCAGGGAAAGGATATACTGCAAAATCCCCCTTCCCTTCCCTCCCCACCCCACTAACTTGCTTTCCAGCTCCGTTCTCCTGGGCAGGGCAACCAAAGGAGACCCAGCCGATCAGCTGGGACTCAATGGGAAGCAGAGAATGGATGGGGCAGAGCTAGTCAGAGGTGAGATTTGCCGGTTCTCCAAACTACTCAAAATTTCTGCTACTGGTTCTCCAGAACCGGTCAGAACTGGCTGAAGATCACCTCTGGACCCCTGCAAACTTGCCTGGGTTTTTTGCGCTTAGCTGGCACCAGAGAGCTAAATGCCACCATCTTTCGTGCAAAATGAAATTATCTACAGGTATATTAGTGTAATAATACAGTGGGTCTGTGCTGATTCTTTACCATAGGACTCTGATGGCAAACCTATGGCACATGTGCCAGAAGTGGCATGCAGAGGTCTCTCAGTGGGCACACACGCCATCGCCAGCTGGTCTTTTGGGTTTTGGCACTGGCCAGCTGGTCTTTGTGGACACCTGAGGGTCGGAAAATGGCCCCAAAAAAACAGGCTGTTTTTCGGGCTGTTTTCAGGCTGTTTTTGGCCCAAAAACTGGCCTGAAAACTGCTCGAAAAACTGCTCAAAAATGGCTCGAAAAATGGCCCAAAAACCCATGCGTGCATCGGCCAGCTGGTGTTCAGTTTTCTGGCACGGTTTGGGGCAGGTTTGCCATCGCTGCCATAGGATATATGAGAGAGGAGCTTGAGCGAAGAACCCCTTTGGGACCTTTTAAAGTAGCCGTGTCTTTCTCCAAATGGCAGCTAGTCTGCAACTTCACGACCAAAACGGAGCCCAACATTGCTGTGGTTAAGCGAGACATTTGTGACGTGAATCTTGCTCCATTTTACCACCTTTTCTGCCGAGGTGAAACCCCTCCAGTTGATAAGCTTGCAAACCCAGTTGCTAAAAGTGAACCCCAGGTTGCCCAAGGGGATCACGTGACCTTGGGATACAGCAACGGTCGTAAATGTGAACCAGCTGCCAAGCACCTGGAGTTTGATCGCGGGGATGCTGGGAAGGTCACCAGTGTGCAAAATTGGCCCTCGGTCCGTTTTCTGTGCTGGTGTAACTTTGAACAGTCACTAAATGAACTGTTGTAAGTCGAGGACTGCCTTCAGCTGCTTTGAGAATGAGGCTCCTCCGAGAATTGTGCTTCTCTCCCTGGTCTTAAAAGATTCAAAAAGAAAGGTGTTCCTGTGCCTTTTGAAGCAGTGCAGTACAGCACGTGGCTTTTGAATACCGGCCATCTTAATTCGGCGGCTCACATTGTGACGGCCATAACTTTGCAGCGCTTCTAAATATTTATAAGGAATTGGTTGAGGGTTTAGCTTTTTTTTTTCTTTAAGGACGGATCTTTTTACATTGAAGGCATCCAGACAGATTTCCTCAATCCAACCCTTGGATTTTAGCTATTCTTTCAAAAGAAAAAGAAAAAAAGAATGAACTGTGAAATGGACAATCTCAGAACAGAATCTTTTTGTTAGGGGCCAAATGGGTAAGTTAACGTGGCGTATGCTTCTTTAAGCTTCTTCCGCTTAGAATGTCAAACTCTTTCTCGTTTCACATCTTCCTCCGCTGTTAACTGTTTTGCAACGGGAAAGGACGGCCGGAATGTAAAGATTGGTTTCTGCAATTTAATAAGCGGGAGAGTTTGCAATCCCTAGAGATGGCTGTACTACAATTCCCAGCATCCTTTGTCGTTGGCTGTAGGGCTGGGCATGCTGGCTATTCGGTATCACCCAGAAAATTGTAGCATTGCAAAGCTCTGCTTAGGCCAATGTGTCCAAGCCCATACTTTGCTCCGTGTCAATAACCAAATTAAAAGACCTGCAACAGATACAGCTGGCCAGTCTACCACTGCCCGTTCCGTGACTTTTTGAACTACTCTTACTAGTTAGGAGGTTTTGCCTCATTCTGAGCTGCCACCTGCCTTTCTTTGCTGACCAAACCACTAGTATCCCTGAGAACCGACTATATACATTTCATGTTCAGACTCAATGCTAGAGGCCCCTATCCCAAAAGGGGGTCAGTTCCTATTCTTGCTCTCTTCAAGGTCGATCTCTTCCTCTTGATTCTCCAACCTCTTTATAGAATTCACAAATTGCCCAGAAGAGATTGAAGTTAATCTCAATATAGTTTGACTATTTATTGAATTCATAGCTCACCTTTCTACCTAAAGGGTTTTTAGGCTTAGGTTTTTAAGTCTCTTTGCAGCAGCAAACATTTACCAGATTCTTTTTATCTTTTTCATAATTTCTTATCCTTTATTGGCTGATGTGCAATGTTGTGTTTATAGCGCTATTGAAAGCAAAAATAAAAACAAAGGAACTGCAAATGGAAAAAGCACTCTTATAGGACTGTAGGAATACTTACAGGGAAAGAAAACCCAATGCTTTTTGTGGCTGCTTAGAAATATAAATTCAGCCAGGGCAGCTGCTTCATCTAAGTGGCCCCGGCCTCGCCTGGAGGCTCCCCAATTCTATGCAACTCTTAATACCAAAGTCCTTGCCATTTTTCAGAAGAAACTGTGTGACATGAAAGAGCAAATTTAGTGGCCTATTTTTTTTTTAAAGAAAGTCTTGCTCTTAGTTGTGGCCAAGTACTCTTGATTTATTTACCTGAGTATGTAAATTGGCCCAGGTCTGAATATCCCCCTGTGACGATCACCTCAGACAATCAGCTTTCATGAAGCATGAGAAAAAAAAGAGCGGAAATCATGAAAGGACATTCAAGTTATTTCCTTTTTCTGCCTCTAATGACACTTGGAGATGACCATAGGTTTGCCTTCAACAAAGCGAGGGGGAAAAGCCTTTTTTTTTAATGTCATGACGACATCCTGTAGATGTTACCAAAAAGCAAAACTTGGAAAGGGTTTTTATGCCCTGGTCCCAAGGCTGCCGAAAAGGATTCAACTTAAGAAACCGCAATATGTTCAGGACTTAGGCCTTTTTGTGATGGATTTACAAAAGCCTTGGAAGAAGGCAAAATTAAGACCACCAATACATTTAAGGGGCAGTAAGACAAGAGTAGCAAAGGCTGCCCTTAAAGACAGCCAGGTGAGAAAACTGGCACGCTCACCATTTCTGACTCGGTAACGAAAGCCACTGTGTCCCACCTTTTAAGATCACAAAGAGGCGGTTTCGCAGAGCAAATATTTCCACATCCTGCTTATCCGCCACGGGAGCAACATCCGCCAAAAGATAGTGATCATGGGTTTTTCTTTTCTGTTTTCTGCAAGGTTTTTCCTGATAAGGGACAGAGGAGGCGAAGGGGGCGGGCAGGGGAGGCAATATGGACCCAAGCTGTTGCAATCATCCTTCTATGCATAATTGCACTATTTCCCCCTTCTCCACCCCCCTCCAATAAATAGGATGTCGGCTATATTTTGCGTCATGTGGCTTTGGTTTTCCCCGAGCCCGGACGACATGTGCTTTTTAAGCACCTGCAGGAGAGCCAATTGGCTTGATTTCCATGTATTAAAGAACGAATGTGCACTTAGTCAAGCTTGGTTGGAGGCCAATGTAAGCTGCAGAAGCTGGCGAGCAAGCCACCGTTTTCCTAAAATAGGCCCGGGGATGTTTGAAATACTTTCCCACCCATGATGCCGAACAGATAAAAACAGAGATTAAAAAGGTGCTAACATGAGGGGGTGGGGGGAAGAAACAATAGCCCACTTTGGACCAATCCATCTTTGCAAATGTTTTTCCTTTCCTTCTCCCCCTCATTGTGATAGTTGCTCTTGTTCTCCCCCCCCCACCCCACCCAAAGCCTCCCATAAACGTCCTGGCCCCATGCTTACAATTTTTTTTTTTTTTTTGAAGAACTCATTTGCTCTCCCTTGGACCGTGGTTTGGTGTCATGTGTAGGATTTCTTCTGCAAAAAAAAAAAAGCACAGAGCTTGAGGGGAGAGGAGGAGGAGGAGGGCCAAGGCCCAGGCTGGGGCAGTAGATGCTGTGAAACAAATTCAACATGTTTTAAGTGTACTTGTTTTGACTTAAATGTAATGTAATATATTTGTTGAATGTAGTTATTAGGTATTTATGAATATATGGCTGTAATTTCTGACGACATCCAAAAAAAAAAAGTAATAAAATGTTCCTAAATCATGACAAAGGATTATTTTCCCAGACCACCCACCCACCCACCGTTAAATAGAAGCTCTATCAGCCCCTTGTATTAGAAATGGGGCCTTGGACAAGAGAGAGCCAATCATCTAGCAGCTTCACAATTTACTCTGGGGTGCCTCAAAACCACTGAAGGAAGAAACATGGTCACAACATCTGGATTAAATTAGGATAGGAATCCCCCACCAGCATCCAGTCAAGCTGGTTTTCAAACAGGCCCCAGGATAACATATGTGTAGGAAAACATACAAGTGTATTGAAAAGAAAGTGTATATCGGAAAAAGCATAACAATTCCTTTAATATTTGAAGCTTTGATTCCTCATCAAAAGTTAATAGGGGCTCAGACTTAAGAGCACTTAGGTTAAAGATATATGTTGTTGTTTTAGTACATATTAGATACACCTGCAAAAAAAAAATCATAATCTAATGTAAAAGCACTAATTTGCTGAATAAGATTCATTTACTGAAACTCTAATACCAGTGTTGAAACTTGAAAGTAACTAAAGAAGAAAGATCTACATGCAGCAAAAGGTAACAACTTAACACTGAAGTTCCACTTTACAAATATTTAACCCTCCAGTTCTTTATATAAGCTTTTTCATAAACAGGGACAAGCCACCGGGTGTTACACAACACTCCTTTTCTTGTGAACCCTCTTCTGAATGCAAAATGTTCTGAGGCGTAACCCGCAGTAGAGGTCAGAGAGTTACAACCGTAGCAATGTACTGCTTTTTAAAATATTTATTTGATCATTACCTAGTAAAACACTACAGCAAATCCCTGGAGCGCCCCCGCATTGTGAAGTGCTGTCTACAAATATTTAAAAATTGATGGCTAACAACATGTGTTATTATGACTAACAGTGAAAATGCTTATATGATTAATACAGTTAGAATCTGGCTACTTGCAAACAGCTGGTTTAGTCAGTCTCCAAAGCAAGCAAGCATTAAAAGAAAAATGGAACCGAAGCCAAACTCTCTGGGTTTTGTGGCTTCGTTTCTTCATAAAGCTATTCTTTCTCTTTTGGCAGACACACACAAAAAGGCACCATACTTCAGTGATCACATTCACGGCCTTCGGGGGTGGAGGGGAATTCCTTTCTATCCGAAGGTGACGGACAGGTAGATTTCAGTGAGTAACACTGCGGTGAATCCAGTGTTGGAGGTAAAGTTGAGTTGCCAGGCAAAAGAAGTCACTTCCCCTGGCAGGCCGCCGAGAACTATGCAGTCAGAAGACTAAAACAATCTCCTTTTCCATAAAGATCAGAAGGTATTGGCCTTGAAAGAACAGCATCCATCAGAAATGGAACTCAATTTGTTTCCTTCTTCCAACTGATAAACACTAGGAGAACAAGCTATCACAAAAGGCAGGCAACCTCGAATAGCTACACGGATGCATCTTGAAAGGGCACTCCTGCAAGCCCTTGGGAGTGTGTGGGGCGAGAGCCTGCTTGCCAAGGAGAGTCAGTGTCCTCCTCACCCGCCAAAGACAACGCCAGGACTGTGGTAGCGCTGGCAGAGGTACCAGGCTGATAATTGTTCAGCAGACCAGTTTTTCCCCCCACAAGCAAATGCTGTGAAGAGCGTTTCACAATCACAATCGGTCACAGCGTAGAGTTCTGCTCTGAAACCGGTGAATGCCAGAGAGGTAAAGGCTGGAAGGAATCGTTCTGGTCACGAAAATCCCCTGCTGTCAAAATTCCTGGGACTCGACATTCGCTCCTACTTGGAGGTTTGAGCGCAACTTGTACATGTGATCCAAAGCTTGGGTGAGGAAAGCCCCGGTGGTGTTGATCTCCATCAGAGTCAGATTGTCCAGCTTATTAAAAAGAAAGAAAACAACACAGCTTGAAGGAGTGTAAATGCCAGGGTTAACCTTCAGAATTGCACCATTCACTCTTTAAAAGCAAGCCAGTGTTTAGTTCCCATGACTGACGATAAGTTAGCATCTGACGATAACTGGAAGATAATTTAGATTGCATTTCATTAAATCTTCATCTTTAATCACTTTTTTGCATTTCTTCTTTCATTAGTTTTGAAATCTCTCTATACATTTATTTACCTCTTTCCCAGAGCTTGAACTGATCCCAAACAAGGCTTCTGTAAGCATAGTTTATTACACTCCTTCAATTTATATTCCATGTCTGCTAAAAGAATTTGGAAGGTAGGTCAACAGTTGTGACCTGCGCCCATAATGAAATGTTATAATCCATTCAGTTTAGAACTGGTAGGGAATGATGTAAGTTGCAGTCCAATATATATGGAGGGCACATAAATGAGGAATAAAATGCATACCCGTCATTCGGATAAGTGATAATCAACTTGCAAACCTTAGTTTGTTAGACTAAAGAGATACATGCCCACAAATGGGTACTTTTATTACAAAACAAATTCTTGTATTATGCATTTGGGTACACAGCCACATACAGAAGTCATCATTTCAGTAGGCTGCAGTCAAGTCAAACCATTAAGTATACACAGTTGCATTTTTGCATGCATTGTGCGCAAAACCTCTCTCTATGCTTGCAAGACTACATAGTACTATCACTGCTATCAAGTAATAAAGATATATTCTAATATTCTAGAATTGATATACGTAGTATATCACTTTCATGATTACTTTCACAAATATTCTTCCAAGGACTACAATCCTTTCAGCAGATTGCTCTTACCCTGGCATGAGCTTCTTGTTGTCTGACAAAACTATCTGCAGATACACGAAGTTTCGCTATTCGGGTGTCCCAGATATCCTTAACCAAAGTTCTTATCTCATCAGCCTTTGGAATATTATCTGCAGCACTAACGCAGAAAAGAAATAGATTGGTGGGTTTACAAAATGGTAGCGGTTACACTTGTTAAAAGAAATCCTTGATATAAACAATGTTAATTAGCTTCTAAGTACAAACAAAAAATGTCAAGCAATATACATTATTAACATTAAATAACTATATATTATATAAAATAATAGATGCAAACAGATTAGAAAAGTGCTCTGGAGCATTTGCAATTTATAGAGTTCTTGCCAATTTCCAATCCAATGCAATCCTAGTTTTTTTGTGCTCTGGCAGAATTAGAATTTGCTACATTTCTCAAACATTATTACAAATAAGAAACCTACTCACAAGTTCAGCAGCAACTTCGTTAATTCCATGTAAAAAGGGTTAGGCATTGGGGTGAAAGTGTCCTCTTTGCGTTCCTGATCTCGCATTTGCTCCAACTTTTCTACAAAGCAGTTTAAAAAATAAGAGCCATAAGAGAAATTTTCCAGAAGTATTTATTTTAAAATCCGGGTTAGAAACCAGGAGACGGCGAGTTCTGCCTTAGGCAATTGAGTGATTTCAGGCCAATCACTAGGCAACAGTGAGTTCTAATCCCACCTTAAGCAAAAAAGCTGGCTGGGTGACTTTGGGCTAGTTCCCTCTCTCAGCCCAACCCACCTCAGGGTTGTTGTTTTGGGGGAAAATAGGAGGAGGAAGTATTATACTGGCAGGTTATAAATAAGCCAGTACAGGTAGTCCTCGGCTTAATTTAGTCCCCGTTACAATAGCACTGAAAATAGTGATTTGTGGCCATTTTTCACATTGAGGACTGTTGCAGCATCCCAATGTTCATGGGATTTCCATGCTTGACAACTGACTCATATTTATGATGGTTGCTGTGTTTCAGGAATCATTTTGTGACCAGGCAAAGTCAACGGGGAAGCCAGATTGACTTAACAACATGGATTCACTTAACAAAGGTGGTCAGAAAAGTCGTAAAAACAGGACAAACGTGCAGATGTTTCATTTAACACCATAAAAATTTAGGCTCAATTGTGGTCGTACGTTGAGGACTGACTACCTGCAATACAATAAGAATGTTGAGCACGCTGCCTTCTTGTGCAACCAGCTGGAAGGCCCAAAGGGAACCTGGGCAGGGGAACATGGTGTTGAGGGTGCAAGCGCGTCACTTCTTACCCACGTCCATCCAGTCGGGGGGCACCAGCCGGCACTTCTGCCTCTGTTTCAGGTTGAGGCCCAGCCAGAGAGGCACCTCCACAGGCAGCCCTGGGTTAAAGGGGCCCAGCTCACCCTGCAAGAGATGGAGAAACTCAGCCAGAGGGACCCCCTCCCCAAATGGCTCACCTGCCTGCACTTTACGTGCCACACTTCTCCCTCCCCTCCAGTGATGGGATTCAAAA